GTTCAAACATACCTGAGAAATTATATACATATATATATTAGCAATTGTAAGAATAGACGTAGAACCTTTATCATACACAGCCAAATAACAGTTAAAAATGCTTAGTAAGTTAATTAGACGTATCTGAGAAACACCATAACATGTTTAGTATTCGATTCAAGTGTTTCTTTATCCATCTTTCTATCTGCTCCTTTTCCTTCTTCCTGAAATATGTACTTTGTGTTTCTTAAAAAAGCAATTATGTATCAGAAAAATATATTATCAACTTCTATGAAATATCAATTCATTACTGTCAAATTCAGCAAGGATATTCACAATTCATATTATTTTAGGAAAAAAAAAAATAAAATGTATTCATGAGTTTTCTTAGTAACAATAAATTAAGGAGAAAAAACATCTGTGGGTTCTAACTTCTGTAGAATTTGGTATCATGTTAGTAGATATGTCCACATTGTTGATATTTCATATATAGCTGTCTGATGAATGATATTTTACCAAAAACAAACATTTAATGTTAAAGATAACACCGTCTTACAATAATGTGCCCTTTTTCTTAAATTTATCTTTTGTGTAACCACTAGTAACAAAATAAGAAAGAAATCCTTGATCCATAATTTTAATTTCATCTGGCGATAAACACTAGTTAACACCAAAATGAGGCAAATGAAAATTTTCTATATTATCTTAGCTAAAATATCTTCGGTCTACCGTCCCTCTTCACACCATCTTTCCTTCAATCTTGCTTTTTCTTGTGTTTTCTTCCGTTTCTGGATGGAGGTCAGAAATTTAGAGATACTGTGAAGAGTTTTTCTCTTTTTATAGTTCTTTTTTCCGTTTTAAGTCCTTTATCATAATTTTCTTCTGGCAACCATTTAACTTTAATTTTTATTTCAGTTTTTCGGATGCCAGACATTAAATAAAGGTACTGTAGTACATATTAATTAGTTATTATTGATTAATTATTTTCCCCTCATTTTATTTTGTATATTATTTTTCCCTAAGATTATTTTCCTATCAGTAATCATTCTTAAAACACTCTGTTTATGTGTCATATTTATTTACATATCATGCCGTGAAGATCATCCCATTTTAGTGAATGTTTATCACTTAAATTTGGATATATTGAGTGCAAAGTCTCTTTCTTTTTCTGTCTTTCTACTGAATTACGATGCATTGACATGAACAAAATATAATTTAATTTTACAAAATAATCATCTTTTTGTAAATGATACTCTTCTGTGTAGCAAACGGGTAAGGTGGAGTTGTGGTGGTGATAAAATATGGGAATAAAGAAAAGATGCGAATAAAAACAGTGATCGATATGATTTACACTATATGAAATGGGAACAGGGCCAGAAAACAGACCCCTGTAAAGTTCCTTGATGAAATAGGAAAAATTTGCATACCTCTGCTATCAAATCAGTAAACATTTATATTTAAAATAAAAAAAAAAATATAGGTATGTGTAGTTTTTCCTCTTTTTTTTATTTTTCAATAAATCATTCCTTTATTTGGACCCAAACTCTAATGAAATAATGATTTAACGTAAGTATCGCAGATGTACTTTTTCTCAATACTTCTTCATCCGTAAAATGTATGTTTACAAATTTTGCTTTTTGTGTGTTCAGTGAGTTTTTAAATGCTTGACAAAGTAATTGTCAATATGATTCCTTATTTTATAACACATTTATACGGTGCTTCAATTATTGTTAAATCTTCCCCTTTTATTCTTTTTCATCCTAAATGATCACAATGTTCACAACTATTTTTTAGAATCTCTGAAATTGGACCCTTCAGAACATTACATACTGATTCTATCAAAAACAATGAAAAATCTTGTGAGAAGTACATCAGCAGGTCTGTTAGACAGTCTAGGAAGGGTTTCATTTTATAATTATTGATTCTAGATTCGATCTAGTTAAATAAGGAAAAGGTACGAAAGTATTTTTGTATTATTCATTACAAATTCTTCTATAATTACACTGTATTATATAGCTCTAAACGAAATAATTTAGTAGATCCATAACATAAGAAAGAAGTGAAAAAGATACGGTAATCGAAACAGAAACAAAGCGTTATTATTCGTATTCCAAAAGGGGGTAAAAGAATTTTTTCCTGAAAATTGGAGACCGATAATACGACTGAGTGTACCTTATAAAAAGGTTTTGGATGTATCGATGAAAATATAAAAAAGTTCCCGAAAATAAAATAAAATTTTCATTAAACAACCAACTTCTTACTAGGTATTTATTTTGATCTTGACCTGACTAATATTCCCAAACTTAATTATGACAAAAAACTAGTGAAAATTAAAAAAGAAATGTTACAAATCAGTGGAACAGAGACATACCACTTCTATTGGTAGGATTACAGAAAAAATTTCAACCTTTTTATTTCCATATCAACCTGATTATGCAAATGAATAAGAGCTTTGAACGAAATTCTGTATCTTTTCTTATGGGAATTGAAGGTGAATAAATTTAAAAGAATCAAATTACTCAAGACTATCAACATAGAAATTGATTGAAAATAATAATTACGTCAAAGATCTGAAAACATTTTGGATTTAAAGATCATTGAATTGTCAAAATTCAAAATTGAAAACTTGATTAAACGAAAGTGTGAATTCACATAAAATGTTCATAACTGGATCAGATTACATTAATGATATAATGACTAATTTAAGAAACTCCTTTTGGATGGGCACATTTACAGTGTATTGCTTTTCGAAATATTCAAGCTACAAGGAAGATAAAACATGACAAGAATTTATAACTCAAGAAATATGTTTTAATGATAAAATAAAAGTTTGAAAAAAGTCTATTTTCTTCACCAAATTGTATAATAAGAATTTATCTTAATATCAATGTTTTGATTGAGGAAAATTGTGCAGTTTTTAGTTTACAGGGTCTCCAGAAAAAGTTTAACAATATAACTTACTTTCTTACAAATTGTGGTCTACAAAAATCTTTTGTAACTAGTCATTATATTTTGTTTATCAAAAGAGGTCCTAAGAAAATGCATGACACACAAAATAGTACAAAAAAATGTTACATCTTTTAACAAGTCAAATTGATGAAGATATATTTCACCTTGTCTTAATTGCAATGGTAATCTTCTGTCATTACTAATGAATTCCTATTAAGCACATTGTTACATTGTATCAGAGAGTAAAATCTGCAGTTTCTGTAATTCAGATAAAGAGAAAAATTGATTGTTCATGATCTCATTAATGTATTTTTAGAACTTTGTCAGACAATAGGCATTGTTATTCCAAGAGACCTTTGGATTTTGATCTTTGGATTAGATCTTGATTTCGGTTGTAAAAATTTGTACCAAAAGTTTCTAACTCTTTTAAAATCCTACACATACGAAAACGTATATCTAGACGAAAACATCAATTAAGGATTACATGTAGATATCAAACCTCATCTCGTAACTTTGATATTAATTGATGGATTGATTAATAAATGTTAAATGCCGCACAACTTTGAAATATATAGCTACCAAAAATTGTAAACTTAAAAACTTTTATAAAGAATGGGACATTTGGCCTTTCATACTCAGAGGCTCCTACCAATTTATATACGTTATAGCCACCAACCATGATGAAATAAAATTTTAAAAGACAGTCTTTTATCAGTTGTTAATAAGCAGCATATCTCCCGCTTTTCCTCTCTCTCTTTCCTCTTTCTCCCTCTTAATCAGCTGGGTGTTTTAAATTGATATTATATGCAGCACAGTTAAAATTTATACGGGAAATGCTTGCTATGACATTCACACAAAAATTATAAGTTCTTCAAATTACCACAAAATGAAATGATTTGCTATTTTAAACTGTTGAATAGCTTTAAACTACATCAATACTAACTAGTGCATGTATTATTGTCGTTGGTTAAATCCAACACAGCAATATATAAACAATTCACTGATCGCAATGCATTTGTCAATGTGACCTCATCTCGTAAAATTTGACGCAGTTTGTATGCAGTAAGATGTGGATCAAGTTATATTTATTCAATGAAAAATGTATTTTGTAATTAAATAAAATATAAATTGTAGATGTATAAGAGGCCATTAACTTGGATGTGATGTCTATTTTATGATTTTATTCATATACTTCCCCTACATTCCCTAGACAAGCGATACTTTCTTATATTTGTATGCAGATTCATTGAAGGGTAATAGAATGGTCGTAATAAATCAATATATTGCAAGGGCATACCCTCAATGAACTATGGCAAGCTTTTACACATAAACTCAAGAAGTATGACTATATTTGAAAAGTGCTGCGAACCTGTTGAAACCTTGCAAATGAATTAATTATATCTATATTTAATGTACTTGACCAGCAAAATATTCAACGGTCTAACAAAAGTAATTTTAGCAATTAGATAGTAGAATCTATATAGGTTCGCAGCATTTTTCACAAACCACTAAGAGTGTTGAAAATAATTATATGTTAATGCCCTAGCAATATTAGAATTTATAGATGACGTCAATACTTCAGATATATTTGCTAAATTCACGTGACTGCCACATCATGTGACACGTCTAAATAAGAAATCTAATCGTCCTCAACATGTAGTTTTCAACCACATTGCATTTTTCTCGATAAAAGTCCTAAAAAGAAACGCCCATCCTTTTAAAAAAATGTATTTTCTATCTAAAACATTCGCCGATATTTCCATTTGACACCTTAACTGTACTGCGTATGCCTCATATAGCCATTGCTGATTTGTTTTTGTTCTGTGTTAGTGTAGTCGTATGTGACATTAATGAACAAGAAATAAATAAATAAATACATAAACAAAAAAGTAAATAAATATAAATGAATAACTAAATTAATTAATTAATAAATACTCAATGAAATATATACAACCTACATTTGAAGAAAACCATGTACATGCATATTTACGAAAATCATACATCTATGAATGCTTGCAAAATTCACTTCCAAGTCAAAATGTATCAGTAAATATATCTTCTTCTAATTATAGTTTACGATTGATATGGCTACCGCCCAAGGACAGGACTTCATTTGTTGTCAGCTTTGCCCAAATCCTGTGGAACATCACTGCAATCTTTGCAATGTGGACCTATGTCTCTCGTGCATACCAAATCACATGGCCGACAAATCAAAGAAACACGAGGTTGTCGCATACACCTCCAGAGAGGAAAACACTTTTATTCTTCCAACATGTTCATTGCACAATAAAAACCGATGCGAGATGTTTTGTCGAAGCTGTGAAGAAGCAATATGCATTCAATGTCTGATGGGTTCACATAAAAATCATGAATATGTTGATATCACAGAGATTCTTCAAAACATTAAAAAGCAAATTCTAGCTGACACAAAAGATCTAGAAACTACTATTGTTCCAAAATACATCCATACAGAAGAAAAAACTGTTGATGCAGAATTTGATAAAGTCATCTCCGACATAGAAATACATGAAGAAAAAATCTGCCAAGCTGTAAGTGAAGTATGCATTCAATTAAAAGCTGAGATAACCAAGCAGAAGGAAGAAGCTGTAAAAAGGAGTGAAGAAGACCTGGAGGAGATAGTAAAAACTGAAGAAGAAGTCAAACAAATAATTCAGAAAAACAAATATATCCTTAGAAGTAATGATTCCTCAGCAATAATAAACTATCAATCAAGGAATAAGGATTTTCGTACAGGCCCAGAATTTCTTAGACCTTGCAATGAGATACTTCCTGATTGTGTTGAACAAGGCTTAATAGTCAGCATGTTTGGTTTTCTAAAATTCGGTAATGACTCGATGAGACAGCCTAGAATGCTTAAGATGATGGATAATCCAAAATTAATAAGCACAATCCAAACCCCTTATGACAAGGATAATCCTCTATTGAAATTGCATTGTGCTGGGAGATATAGGATCATTACTAGTGGAAGAGAAAAAAAAATCAGACTTATAGACACATCTAAATCCATTTCACAAACAATCCATATCAATGGAATTGTTTCTGCATTGACTAGTAATTTACAAGAAGAACCAGTGTTTATTCTAACAAAAATTCGTGAATTTGGGAAAGTTTATATCTATCAGAAGAACAAGGCAAAGAGTTTACTAGAAATTCCTAACTGGGATTTTGTTGGACTATGTTATACAGTTTATGCAGATCTACTGGCGAGCATGCGCTCGAGGGATAAGATGCAGAGTCGAGTAATTAGGTACTCAGAGCCAAAAGTGATTCAGAGTATGCAGTATGACTGTAAGAGGCAACCTTTGTTTTCTACTGGTTCTTTAAGTCCGCTTCGCTTGACTGAAAATGGCAATGGGGATATCTGTGTTGCTGACACTGCTGGAAAGGCAGTTGTTGTGATGAATTTTTGTGGTAGACTACGATTCAGGTATAGAGGCAATTTATCTAAACAATCAAACTACACCGAATTTAGCCCAGTCAAAATTGCTTCGGATGTCCATAATCAAATACTGATTTGTGATAGGTCAAACAACATAGTCCACATAACTGATTGTGATGGTAATTTTGTCCGTTATATCGAATATCCGTGTAATGGAGGAATAAGTATTGATACGGATCACAATCTAGTCCTTGGAGACTCTAATTCTGGAAAAATTCAATTTATAAAGTATCTGGAGTGAACAAAGTTTATGATGGTTGAAAGAAGGAGAAGAAAGTTTATTTAAACATGTAAAGCTTATAAAATTGTATATAACTTCATCGCAGGGAATCCATTGTTACATTTTAAATAATGTTTACAATTGTACTTTGTCAATAAATTCTGCTGAGTTCTATGAAAGTTTTAAAGGCTAATTCATTCAATTTCCAACCATACAGAAACTAATGTACCTAAAGTAGGTCTGGGCTTTCCAAAATTTCTGTCAATCAAACACGTTTTTCATTTAAATTACTTTAATAGCTATTAAGCTTTCAAAAACCCATATAAGACATAATTTACCTTACCATGCTTTTTTATCATGTTTCTATAATACCTTTTAAAATTATTTTGCTATATTTTAACACAGAGAAGTTAGGTTGCCATTTTTTATCAAGTTATGTTCCAAATGATATCGCATACATATTTTTATTTAACGATTTAATTAGAGTTAAACCAAAGGTTAACTAAAACGTATATTTAAAACATGGTTGGTAGCATAGATTTTGCATAACAGTCTCATTAACATGTATTTTCTTTGAAATTGTAAAAAAAAAAATAACTTTGATAAAAATGACTTCAATTTTGTTCAATTTCGAGCCTATACCTGCAAAAATAAGCCTTATCTGACTACTTCTGTTTTGACCGAAGTAACGTCGATCGACGAAAAATGAGATCAGATGCTTCCTGTGACTGAAATCACCCAACAAGGTGTCGAAAATGGCTAAAATATGCATTTTTCTGACTACGTCCAGTTTTACCGTACGTGACGTCATTAGACGACCATGGATGATCTCAACAGCTGCCACTCGTTATTTTAAACAACTTATCCGAATGTTTTACAAATTATGAATAGTTTTTGGATTATTTAGAAAAAAAAACTTTTGGTCCCCATAGATCTCTTTATTTTTTAGGCCAACCCTTTTTTGTTGATGTCGGATGAAATTATTTACATTCAAAGAGATATTAAAGAAAACGCTTTGAAAATTTTAAAATTTTCGCTCGATATGTCCTTTTTTGCAAGGGTGCATATTGTTAATAACATTTTACGGAACATCTTTTGTTCATTATTGCTTATCAAAATAGTTCTCCTTTTCGAGATATGAAGCGTCAAATATTTAACATTCTGGCCCCTTATGAACCCTTATTACATAATATATGATCAAATCATTTTAATATGTAGTTGTAAATCATAAAGATAAACATTTTTACTTCAGTAATTTCTTTCAAAATATTGATCGTGAAAGAGTTATAGATGAAAAGCTTTTGGCCTCTCTAAGAGCCTAATTTGAGGGGCCAGCTCCTTTGTTCTTTATATAAAAAAGGGGGGTGGTGTGATTTTCAAGAATTCTTGTTCAACAACTATTCAGTTTCTTTTCGTTTTCAAGATATATAAAATAGAAATATTTAGAAGCCAGCCCTTCGAGTCCTTAATGGGACCCTTTTGCAAAAATTCGGTGATGCACATTGTTAATAACATTATTCGGAACATCTTTTGTTCAATATTGCTTATCAAAATATTTCCCTTTCTCGAGATATAAAGCGTCAAATTTTTACCATTTCAGCCTCTTATGGCGCATTATTACATAAAGTATGATTAAATTTTTTTATAATATATAGTCGTAAATCTTTTTTGCTTCAGTAATTTATTAAAAATTATCGATCGTGATAGACAGTTTTGGACATCCATTTGTACATCTGCAAACCTCTCTAAACCTTCATAGGAGATCTATCTTGACTAAATATTTCAAGTCGTTTAGGAGGAGTTTCCAGGACATGGTGATCCTCTGAAAATCAGAAAATATTTAATATCTCAAGACAGGAAGTGATGTTATCAACGAAAACAAAACTCGAATTAGGTTCAGATCAATACCTATCAGATCTGAAGGTTTTATGAAAATTGGCTAAGTCGTTTCCGAGAGCTTGCGTGCACAAAAAAACAATAATGATAAAAGATGACTACTCGTTGCGAGCAACGAGTGCATTCAGTCCGAAAAACTATCCTTATGCGTGATATTCTTGGCATGTAAAATTACATTTATATATGCTCTTAGTAAAAACACCTAAAATATAACATACATTAGGACTTTCAAAATACTAGGATTTTAAAGACTTTTTATTGAATGAAAATAGGGCAGAATTTACACAGAAAAGAAATATAATATATAAAGATGAAAAAATAAAATGGGGAAGAACGGATTAGGACGGATTAAACACAGGTCATCTAATGGAAATTTCTAAAATATGGAAACCACTACACCAGCGCAATGTACACATTTTCATCGATTTTTACTCTGCACTCATTGCCTGACGTAACGTGCGTCAAGCAGGTTATCTTTTTTCATAGTGAGGCATTATACGATGAAATCTAGCCAGCTAAATTTTGTGAAAACAGATTCACATCGGAATTTATTACATGAGTTTTAACAATAACTTTAAGTAAAAGAAATAATCTGTTACTAATGAAAACTAATGATGTCTTTACGTTCTTTATGCGTTCATCATTTTATTCAATGCAATTCCAAATAGAGAAATATCCGTTTTATCTTTCTCTGCAGGCGGGAACGATAAATTATTTCACTCCAAACGTAACAAGTAAATCTTTGCGCCTTTTTGGAATGCGTGTTTTGTTGAACGGGTTTGACAGCTTCAATAAAATTTAAAAATATGCTGTTATGACCTGATGTTTTAGCTTTCGAATGTACGTTTATGGCATTATACATATCGTATATGGTCAAGTAACACTAAAGCATTTCATGTGCTATGTTTTTCTACATAACTTATTTTCCTGTTTACCTAAAAAGTGGAGTATTCCGTTTAGTGTACACATTTTATGAAAAGACTGGGACGTTTTGCAACAAGACGTACTGTAAATACCACGTGCACAAAATTTGTCTAAAAACAAGAGTAATCATTAGAGTTTGGATTTATCAATTTTAAAACAAGATATATATTTCGAATTTTAAAAAGAGTCTCTATTAACCCTACTTATATCAAAGAAAAATATAGCAAAAAAAAAGCTGAAAATTCGACTTTTTTAATCCGTTTCCGGTAGCGACCGGAAGTATTGACGACACACAACTAGGGGATTACACATATATAGAAGTCATGTTCTAAACTCTCCAACAAGTCTCCAGTTCATATCTTTAGTTTCCGCACAAAGTTTCATTATGAAATCAGAAAAATGACCAAAACTTGGAACCGGAAGCGAATTTTTCCTAACTTTCTTCAAGTGTAACAATAGCACTTTACAGCGCATTATCCCCGAAAGTTTGACGAAAAACCACTGAATGGTTCTCAAGGTATTGCATGCACAAAATTTATCGAAAAAAATCTATTTTTAAAACTACTTCCGGTGGACATTTTTAAACAAATTATACATGTATATTACATATCTTGACAAGTGTGTCTATTATCCCTACTAAAATCATAGAAAAATATTGAGAAACAAAAATGTTGATAAAAATTGATTTTTTAATTCGCTTCCTGTAGCGACCGGAAGTAATGACGACACAAGAAAAGGAAATTCCGCATATCTAAATGACATGCCCTATACTTTTTAACAAGTCTCCAGTTCATATCTTCTACCATTTTTAAAAAACTTGGCACCGGAAGCGAATTGTCAAACTAATCTTCCAAATGTAACAATAGTATATTATAGCGCATTATCCCTGAAAGTTTGACAGAAAACTTTTGAATAGTTCTCGAGATATCGCATGCACAAAATTTGAATAAAAAAATAATAAGAAGAAGAACGAGTAGAATCGCTATAAGGTCTTCCGTGAAGATGGAAGACATTATTAATAATAGGGAAAAAGAATGAAAACATTAGGATCTTCCATTGGAGACGAAAGACCTTAATAATAAGAGACAGTAAAATCACTATCAGGTGAATACGGAAGACCATAGTAACTATAGTCTGTCCCACCAAGCTACTGTCACCACTTTTTGCAACATATCTCAAAATATATAAATACCTTGGCCTTCAACCTAGGTTCGAGAGATAGATCATTTTTTTCCAAACTTCCTGCATTTATCCGAACCCTCGAGTTCAACCGCTGTATTGACACGGCGGCAAATTCAAAGTCTACGGGGATTTAACATGGTAAACTCGTCCATTAGCGTCAAGATCACGGGGCAGGAAACCAGTTTATCGAGGGAGTAGTCGTTCTTTCCAAATTAAAATTACAAAAAATCCTAAAAATTCAACGAAAGCAATTCAGTGTGTTTTGGTAAAAAATATAAGTATTGTTTTGCATTCAAATATATTTGACGAGTTTTCTAATAAACTGAGAGAAAATAATCCGAATTCAATGCAGTACAAGTTGTGGATAACGCACTGCTCTAGAAAGGGGATGTTGACATTATGTGTAATTTACAGCTTCCCTCGATGAAAACGTAAGTTGTTTTTTTTTTTTACTTCTGAAAGTACACCCACAAAAGAAGTGTTTTCAAGTGCTAATGATTTGTCAAAATCAAGCATTATTCGGCGAAAGCGCCCAATGCATATCTGCACAGTAGGCCTAGTGGGGGAAAACGAAAACTTTCAGTAGATCTATAATGGTAATGACTTTTTTTGTAAGAAGCTTAAGATTTTTAATATTTTATACGATAGGTCTACTTTCTCTTTCAGTCACAGGGAACATATCTAAAACGCAACAGTTGGTCCACAGAATTCATTGTAAACAATCCTTTCACCTGATGAATAAAATGTCAAATTTCCCCCTTTTAGTTACAGAAAATTTTCGATTAAATATACATTAAGTTGAGGATAAAGTAAGCATGCTGCATTTTATTATAAAATAAATGAACTTAGATTAGCTCTCAGAATGCAAATTATTACGTTAATCCTAAACTTTCCAGGGGAGGCGGCATGCCCCAAATACTCCAATTTTGAAATATTCACACTTCCAGTACTAACTTTGCACTCACATTTCATCCCAGGCCCTTCATGTGAAAGGCAGTGTGATTTTTTTTGGTTGTTCC